CATTACTTTTTATGTGCTTACATAAATGTGAACATACATATGTCCATATGTTTTTGTGATTTCATTTAACTGTAGCAAAGCAAATACACTTGCGTAATTCTAAAGCTTAATTGCTATGCTCCGCAAATAAACTTGAGACAAAGTATCGTATGATTGCTAAACATTAGAATTTGAAATGGAATTAAAAGAACCAAGACAACACCACAAATTGACATAGACATCGACTTTCGATTGGGGAGTGTCAACAACTCGTAGCGCTCGGTAATGCGGGGCTAATACTCAATGGCAAAGCAAACGATACTGGAAAAGTATTGCCAAAGCACAAACCCACATACATACGTATTATTATGTACATGCACATTTGTATGAAATATAAAACTAAAAACAAAACAAAAATCAATTTAATGAAAAACAAGAAGCTAAACAAGTAAGAGTAGAGGAAGCAACAAGATGCCAGCATACTTACGTATGTATGAATGTAGAAACAGTTAATGTATCCAATAACCAACGGCAATCGACTATCACTGTTCGAGCAGAGATATATCTCTAAGTATGTAGCTGGGTATGAGCATTTATAAGAGTATATATATCAGGGATGAAAAAGTAGGTACAATTGTACCTTTTTCCGACGTTTGCTGACCTAAAGGTACATTAGGTACAATCACTAGCGTTTGGGTACAATCACCTATTGATCAATGAATTTGTATTCTTATTTTTTTTCCTTTATGTGAGAATATATTTACTTGTCGGCATGGGAAAAAGTGGGGAAAAGTGGTCAAAAGGAAGAAATTAACAAAATCATATTATGTATACTCTTAAACATTTAACATTGCATTTAGAACAGCCACTACAAAAAATTAACACTTTACTTAGCTTTCCTAAAATTCGTAATTCTTGTTATATTTTTTTGTATTCGAAATTGGAATTAATTTCTTCAATAAAACGTCATTGCGTCGAATGACGGGGTTGAATTTACAGTTTTACCCTTGCAATTGTTTGAATGCATTTTTTAATCCATTGAAACCATAAAAGCTAAAGTTTCCATCATATAATAACATTTTTAACTCTTCTATTAATTTTATTCGCCCATACATTCCTGGGTCTAGGATTTATTCATATTTCATATTTTCTGTAGTTGAGGGCCTCAAATCTATTCAATAGCTATTTGACTTCTGGAATATATTTAAACTGCTTTCGAATATACTAACGGCAATTCTCATTATTTTCTCTAGAATCGCTGCAGCTACTAAAGGGAATCGGATAAATTAGCACACTTTTTCTGTTGCTTTATAAAAAGCTGGAAAAAAGTTAACTTCGCAAAGTGTGTTTTTTGTCTATTTCGTCAATATTTTTCAGTAGTCAAAAAGCTTCTCTGATTCCCATTAGACTATACTCTGGATGTAGATACAAGCTCAGTTAAAAAAAAGCTAATCAAGTTTAAAGTACATCCACCTTCTGTATTCATATTTTTAAACATATTATTAAAAAACTACATACGAATGATGTAATTTTTTTAGGTACAATCTGTCTCATTTAGGTGCATTTATTTTATGATATTAGGTACAATCTGAAATTTCCATTTTTCATCCCTGATACATATACCGCAATTTAGAGCTCATATTGCACCACACCCTCGCTTGCCACAATTGCGCTCATTGAATTGATGATCGTCAACAGATTTAGCAATAACGCGCGCTTTTCTTTATGGATGTGTTTTTTTATTTTGTTTTTTTTTTTATCGCTAGTACTTCTTTTTATGATTATGCTTATATCGTTGCGATATATGTATTTAAATTTTTTATTTTTTTTACTGCTTTGTTTAAAACAAATACAATTAAGTGTCTCATACATAACAATTGGGCGCTTTTGAGTGTCAAGTTCAAATGCTCCAATTGACAACATCTGCTGTGGGTATGCTTAAGCGATTTCAATGGAGATGCATATATGTATAGACTCATGTAAAATGCTGATAATCTGCTGATATTCAAAAATATACCACTAAGAACAAATTTCGAAATTGAGATCCGCAAAAAATAGGCGGGATAAATGAAGATCGATACACGTCTTTAGATATACTGACAAACACATATTTCCACTTCTTCTAACCTTGGCTCCCCAAAGGTGTTCAAATTCATATAGCTTTCTCGAAGCGTTTTAACATTCTGGCAGCACAAGTAGAATGGGCAAAAGAAAGTTCTTCAACACATCAAGAAATAGTGGAAGCACGCTTGCACAGTAGAGGAAAACTCACACCTACAGAATAATTATATTCTCCTTGAAAAGGTTAGATCCAAGATAAACGGACTTCCAATGTATTGGAACGGATGACACTGATACCTGCAAAGAGCCAGGAAATATTTGTATGCTTGTACACTTGAAAACATGAATCTCCCTCGAGCGCATCTTATTGAAGTAATTTAAGGATAATACCTTGCTCTGCTCTTGTCAGGAGACGGATGCCGAGTCAGTCTCAGGCAGTACCAGCCGGCGCGAGCCAACGCATAGTGGGTGAAAAACACATCAGCTCAGGTAGATTATCTGCTTAAAATACCGGCTCTATTTTTACCACTCACCCTGGTAGCAAAGCCAAGTCTGTAGCTTTTTCGTTCTCAGATAGGAGTTAAGTGTGCACACCTGAGGTCTAATGCATCTATCTGGTGGATATTCAGATGAACGTGCACCCTTCGAGAATTACGACCCCAACTCTACAGTTGAGAAACTACTTCTTCCGCTCACAAAATATCGAGGCCATAGGTGTATAGGGGCGAGTCTGCATTACCGATGGTGGTTAATGGCAAGACCTGTTGAAATGTAAAATTTACAAGTCGAAGAAAATTGCCGACAGAAATTCAGGAGAAGGGCATCCAGAACGTGCGCGACTGCATAGTTAGTGTCTGCGAAAGCTTGATTAAAAACAACCCTGCGAAGTCCGGATAGGAAGAGACCGAGCGAAAAAGCGACGCTATCGATGACGAAACGACGTTTCGAAACCCGCTAAAAAGTGCAAAGATGTATTAGGCGTATTTAAGCCCATATCAAACTGTCGTAAACCACCTTCGCGTCGCTGACATATACGAGTCATCCAACTGCTGCAGTCTTTGACAAGTTGCCGCAGATGGGGGCCGATCATTCGGTCTTGGAGATAGCGACTACTTCAGCCAAACCCGATGGTCCGATACTCCGGTTAGATGATAACGAGGGAATCGGTGGCTACAACCATAGCGAGAACAAAGTCTCCAAGGAATTTATGCGCTGGAACATAGCCGAGGCCAGCTACGTTTGGTTGGGCATAAAGCTCAAAGCTTATCTGGCGATGGATAAGTACGAAGAGAGTGAAGCTGCTATAATATATGGGAATTATGAACCCTAAAAACAAAAAGGCAATTATCCAGCCGTTCTGTTCCTGATGGCAATCAGAAATCGGCTATACAAGAGCTAGGTCTCTGAATTCACTTTGGTGTGTGGCGTGTTGGCATGCAAATTTAAGATATTCCGAGGTAGGGAGCTTGAAGACGACGACGAGAACGGGGAATCATCGCTTGGAGTGCCCCTGTAAGGCTAAACGAGAATTTTTTCTAAATCTCATTGACGATCGAGGTGACCGAGGGAGCTAGTGGTTCGTTGGCCTAAATAGCATCACACAAACGATGACCAAAGACATAAAGTTTGACTTGAAGTGGGTCGGAATTTCTCTAGGCTTAGAAGATTTCGAGCAGAATGCATTTTGCTCTCAACTGAGAGGGGTATAACATACAACACATAAGCTACACATATCAACAACATGACTTCTCTATGTTGTCGGTGACAAACGGAACCCAATTCAATATCAAACGCGTCTGTATGGTATCCAAAACCAATGAGGTGGTGAGGGGCTGACAAATTTATGCTGCCGATCTGCACCGATCGCTCGATTTGCGCGCGCATAACAATTTGAATATCATCGATGATCAACTGTAGTAAAAACGCTACAGCCTTACGGCGTTTGACAATTGCTAAACTAATAAAATCGTCTTTTAGCAGCGGCATGACATAACAGCGAATAGTGACAGGGGGAGGAAAAGTGATCTTGGAAAATCATGCAATTGATCGCGAAACGTGATCGCGTACGCATAGCGATTGCTTTTAGGCTAACTGCCGTGGAATTTTTGTTGTTTTTTCATCTACTTGCGTTCGATATGCTTTTTAGCGTTGATGCTCGATGAGCGCACTGATCTTGTTGAACGCATTATGTAGCTTTTTTGCAGGCATTTTTCTTTCTGGTTTTTTCTTTTACATTTTCTGTATTTCTCCAAAATGTTTGACGCATTACCGCTCGCATTTGAGCATCGCATTTTTATTAGAAACTGAAAATGCAAAAGCTTTGCTCGCCAATCGTTTGATCAGCAAACTTAATTGATTTTCAGTTTGTTGCTGTGTTTACGATCTGTTCGTAGCGGACTCCCCGCTCCGCGCTGCCTCTGCGCGCTTACTGCCGTAGTGAACCAATTGTTGGGCGCTTGATGACACAATGACGTAAACCTTTGCTGAGCTCAGTGCATACAAATATATTTCCATGCGTACATAAATTTTCATGCTTTTGTGGGCTGGCAGGCTGCTGTGTCATCGCAGCTCGTGCGATTTTCATCAACCGCGATCCGCCCAGTTCCGCAACTGAAGTTCACAGCCGAGGCATTTTTGTTGCTTTTAGAAGCATTTATTTTTTTAAAATTATTATTTCATATTTTTTCCCCATTATTTTGCAAAGGCATTTTAAGCTTCCTCCTTTTCCCTCATGCCCTCGTTCAAGTTCTAACAGATATAATTTTTGAAATTCATAGCTAAGAATCTTGTTGCTCTCAATGTTGTTGTTATTATAGCATATTGTTGATGCTTTGGTTTATTATTGCTGCCACTGTCACTGTCACTGTCACTGCCTCAGCCGCTAACGCCGACGCTGTTGTTCGCAACAAACAACGCGCTCTAAGCTTCTTTTCTGTCTCGAACATAATTAAACTTTTGTTGAACGCTGATTGGCGTTTGGCAAATAGTCGCGGTTTGTTTGCCGCTCAAAGCAAAAGTTCTTTTTTTCGGCGCATCGGCGTTACGTACTAACGATCGCGCGCGTACTTAGAAAAAAACATAGTTCTTGGCTGCTCAACTAACAAGGGTGTGAATTACTATTTTTACCGGTGTCCTGCCATGAACTTCGATTAATCGACTATCTATATAAAAAATTTATAAAATTACCTCGCCACAAGCAACATGTCTTTAATGTTTTGCACCCTATTTCGTCGTCTATTCCTATTGCTTATTTTCGCTTTATTCGTTCTTGATGGCTTGCTAGTGTCGAGCGTCGTGCAACAACGCACTCTGGAGGAAGCGCGTCAGGAACGGCAACGGCTGGTGCAGAAGTATATTAAAACTTTAAATAAGGAGGAGGGTGCCATACGATTGGTGGGCGGTGAAACGGAGTATGAAGGTAAGTCAAGGAAGGGAGCTGAATAAGAGGGAGGAGTGATGTGGAAGTGTTCGAAAAGAAACGCATAAATTCAACGGAATTTCAGCTGAGAAAATGAGCTAACGGAAGCAAAGAAATACACAAGTTTCCGCTTTCGGCTTAGACAGGGAAATATTTTCCAGTTGAAACTGCGTTTAAAAAATTCCTTGGAAGAAAGGTGACAAAAGTAGTGAGATAAAAAGGATAAATCCTAGCACGTTACCCGTGCAAAATTGGGAATAAACAACTAAGCGCACAGCTGTATTTATTAGACCACTCCTGCTTTCAGCTCGTCTGAGGGAGAAAAGAAATTATTAAATGGTAAAAATTTGTATACGAACTTTTTTATTTTTTAGTTTGATTTAACTTTAAATGACTTTTTTTGCGGTCCGTAGGTCTAATGCCTACCTTTTTTTTTAATACAAAAGGGGTATTGCTACTGCCATGTACCGTCAAAATGAATAGTGCATACTGTCCAGCGTTTTGCCAAAATCTCACAAAAAAAATGGTCTAAGCTTTTTTACAGTGGCAACCTTCAAAAAAAAAAAAACTAAATAAAATAATAGAAATGCCAAAAACACGGCTTTTTTGGTACATGTATTCAAGTATATTAATATATTAGATTTTCTAGATATGTCGATTTTTTTCCTTGAAAAGTTTCAATGCAATCAAAAAAGAAAATTGTCAAATCTAATTGAATTAAATCATTTCCCAAGGGTTATCGATTGATATTCATATTGGAAAATTGCACTTAAATAAGTTTTATGACTCATTAAAATATATGGCAACTCTGTTAAAAGTTCTCTCGGCTAAAATTTTTTCATCTCGGGATCCCATTGAAGCAAAATAAAATTGGATACCATTGGATGACATTTGGTTCATACTCTCAAGGATTCTGGTATGGATATTGCGGGCCGGCTTTAATGATTTCGTGCTTGGCAGAACTCAAAAGCTTTGCATGCCAGTATGGGCAGCCAACTTTCGCAGAGCTAAATAATCTTAAGCTGCTCTCATCAAGAGTTCACTCGGTGTCTACAAAGGCACATTCGGATGGTCAGGAGACCGTACCCTAGTCCTATCCCTGCTGACAGTTAAACTTGTTTGATCTTTTAAGGATTTCAGACAGTTCCTCCAGTACAAGTGTGCCTACACTGCCCAGATCTACAAATAAATAGTCCACCAAAGGCGTGTAGGGCATTTTCACAGAAAAGATTTTTTAGGATTCTAACTCGTCCTCAGCTTAAAAGAGTTTACAACAATTATTATAAGACGTTAGTCGAACGATGAGCAGATAAATCCAACTTCCATTAGTAGACGCTATGGTATTAACTTTTAAGAGCAGGTTATCAGGGGGCACGGGCATGGTTGAACCTAGTTTTCAAAGTCCATTACAGAGCGTTACATTTTTTACCGATGTGCTGCCAAAGAGTTTGCAGAGATTCTCGATATTATTTACCAAATACCCTGATAATTTTTACCGCTTTACCAGCTAGGTGCAGCAGTCTTAAGCTTTCTTAGCCTTAGAAACAACAAACATTTCTTTGCCTAAAAATATTTCCTCCTCTATACCGCACCCAGTCAGCTCATTTCACAACGTTTATGCAAAAAATGTCTACTTCAAATACCAACCCGAGCTTATTTTAAACAGTTCGAGAAAAATAGCTAATATTTAATCGTTATCCTAATTTTCCCCTACAAATGTTTTAAAGACTCAGAAGACAACTTTTGTAAGTACCATTTTTCCCATCTCATTCCAGGCAACATCGAAATATTACACAACAACAAATGGGGTGCCATTTGCGACGACGAATGGGATGCACTCGAAGGCCGCGTCGTATGCCAGCAACTGGGCTATCCTGGTCTTCGACGCGTCACCCACAACGGTTTTTTCGGTTTAGCGCGACGTCGCTACTGGATGGACAACATGTACTGTGAAGGCGACGAACACGAACTCACCGACTGCCACTTCGATGGTTGGGGCATAAACGACTGTGAAGCTAATGAAGCCGCCGGTGTTGTCTGCAAGAGTCCGCAAGCAGAGCGCACAACGGAGGCACCTTTGCCACAGCACCTGCCAAAATTCACGCTACCACATGCCTATCGTATCGAATTGCGGTTACGCGGTGGACGCCGAGCGCACGAAGGACGCGTTGAAGTGCGCATCGATGGTGGCCGATGGGGCACAATATGCTCGGACGGATGGTCACTGCTGGAAGCAAACGTAGTTTGTCGTCAACTGGATTTGGGTTTCGCACGCGACGCGCTTCAAACGGACTACTTTGGTGGATTGGACATTGCGCCGGCGGTACTAAGCGGTACCGAGTGTTATGGTAATGAGACTTCGTTGGCGCAATGTCTACATCACGACCACTTGCGACCGCCTGCGGAATGTCACGGTGAGCGTAATCATGTTGCGGTGGCGGTATGCGATCATTTGGCGCCCGATTTGGTGGTGGACTTCTATGAACTAGAACAAACGGCGCACTTGGAAGATCGACCGATGGCACTGATGCAGTGCGCAATGGAGGAGAACTGTGTAGCGAATGAGGCTTATGACATACAGCGAGATGATCCTAATTGGCGTTATGTGACACGGCGGTTGCTAAAATTTACCGCGAGTACACTGAATGCGGGCAACACAGATTTTCGGCCGTTCAAGGAGAAACACCTGTGGGAGTGGCACATGTGTCATATGTAAGTGGGAATGGAGAAGGGTTTAGTAAAGGCTTTCTAGACAGATATTTTCTCTTCGCAGGCACTATCACAGCATGGAGGTATTTGCCACATTCGATGTCTATGATCTGATGGGCAACAAAGTGGCACAAGGACACAAAGCATCCTTTTGCTTGGAGGATAATCAGTGCCTCTCAGGAGTACCAAAGAAATATAACTGCGCCAATTTTGGAGATCAGGGTGGGTTAGAAGTGGAAGTGAGTTGGCGTTGAGGTTTTTCATTCTTATTTTACATTCAGGCATCTCAGTCAATTGCTCTGATATTTACCTTTACAATTTGGACTGCCAGTGGGTGGATATTTCCGAATTAGATACCGGTTCTTATATTTTGAAAATCGCCGTTAATCCGGAATTCAAAGTGGCCGAAATGAGTTTTGACAACAATGCAGCGGTGTGCAACCTTTTATATACAGATACTTATGCGCGTGTGGATGACTGCAGGCTGAGTAGGCCTTAGGCAGAATTTTATAGGTTTTCACGAGGAAGCCCTCAACTCAACAGTGCCAAAAATTAAATAACTGATGCAAAAAAAAAATACCAAGCCAAATATAATTATGCGTTGTTTTATGGTAAATAATGCATACTTAGTAATTAAATATACTTAGAGAGGTTGGAAGAAAAAAAAAATATTTTAAATTATTTGCATTTACTATTTCAAATTGGATTTATTTTATTTTATTTTAATTTGTTTTGTATTTTATTTGATTTTCTTTAATTTAGTTAGATTTGATTTTTTTTTTCTAATTCTTCTAATTTTTGTTTGATTTTATATTATTTTGATTTGGTTTAATTAAATTTAGTTTTTTTTGATAGTTTTTATTTTATTTATTTTTTATTCTTCTATTTTATTTTATTTTTTCTTTTATCTTCTTTTATTTTACATTATTTTTTATTTTATTTTGATTTGATTTAATTTAATTTAATTTTGTTTTATTTTATAGTATTGTATTGCATATATTTTTATTTTATTTTATTTTGTTTTATTTTATTTGGTTTTATTAAATTTTTATTTTTTTTTTATTTTATATTTATCTAATTTTATAATTTTTTTGCATATTACATTTATTTTTTTATTTAATCTTAATTTGTTTTATTTTATTTTATTTTATTTTATTTTATTTTATTTTACTTTATTTTATTTTATTTTATTTTATTTTACTTTATTTTATTTTATTTTATTTTATTTTACTTTATTTTATTTTATTTTATTTTATTTTACTTTATTTTATTTTATTTTATTTTATTTTACTTTATTTTATTTTATTTTATTTTATTTTATTTTATTTTATTTTTTTTTATTTTTTTCTATTCTATTCTATTTTATTTTGTTTTGTTTTATTTTATTTAGTTTAATTTAATATAATTTAATTTTATTTTAGTTTGTTTTATTTATTTAGTAAAAATCCTTAGTTCTAAAAATTCTGTAAGACCACATTTAAGTCTAAAATAAAGTTATAAAATTAGTTGTCGAAAATTCAACCACCAACAACAATTTATTGATTGATTTACCGGCCGCTACGCTTTGGGCGGCTAGTTTCGTCTGTTGCTATGCGCGCTACTCCGATTATTTGTAAGTATGTATTATTATTTGTTGCCTTTGCTAAGCGCCTGTTGCTGCTTGCCTCCTCCAACCAATTGACAACTGGCGACGGCAACATCACCAAATCGATCAGCTGTCATTGCCATCACCCATATTTTGCCGTGTTTTGTTGTTGCTGCGATCGCATTTGTTGTGCATGTTTTTGTTCTCATCATTGTTGTTGTTGTTGTTGTTGCAAGTTGCTGTTGCTCGCTCAAACGCAGTCAAACGTTTGCTTTGTTGTGTTATGTTGTGTCGTCAATTGACGTTTAACTCGCATTGTTAGTAACAATTTATTATTCTTGTTGCTTGTTGTTGTTACTGGGTGCTCTGAGTGTTGTCGTTAAACTTGAAAATCGCTGGAGCGTGGCGCGCGCGCATCAAAGCTCAACCCAGCGTAGCGCATGGCTCACAAAGTTTCAGGAGGCAACTAGACAACAACCATAACAACAACAACAATTGTTTGTTGTTTTGGGGGTTTGATTTTAGTTAGTTTGTCGGTTGCTGTTGTTCGAACTGTTGGTGTTATATGTAGTTCTGCTTGTGGTGCCAAATGTCGTGCCGCACTGGCTACAATGACGTGAATTTGCGGAGTTTCCACTAAATCATCATGAATTCTGTAGCCACATGTATAGGCCAGGGAGATGAGAGGAAAAAGAAAACACAGTTTACGTGAATAAAGCGCACGCACAGCTAGCCAGTTTGGAGCTATTAAATCACTATCTGAGCAATGTGAAAATATGCGATGTGGCATTGAAACTACGACAATGGCAAATTTAATATTTTTTATTGTAAAAATTATAACGTAATTAATATTTATTATGGGAAAATACGTTTTTCAAATACAAAAATTATTTTGTTGGTCTGAAAATTTAAGAGATCGTTTATGAATTTTGTTAGATTTTAGATACATTAGTATAGTTTTTGTAAACGAAAATTTAATTACGGAAGTAATTTTGAAGTCCCTCTTTGAGCAAAAATTTAAGCTTTTTTTATTACTAAATATTTTTTTTTTATGTAACTTTAATTTAAGGCCAGTTGAGGCAAGTGCATTTTAGTGGCTTTAGTTGGTATATATTACTTAATCACAAGAGCTGTAACAATGCTAAAACAGTGCCGGAAAGAGAAAGCATCACGCTCTAAGTAGACTTAAAAAAAGTTGCGTGTGGGTTCCAAGCGCGACTTAAGTGAAATTTTTTTGTACTACATCAGACAGATCGACGAAAGTTCGACAGGGGCAAACAGCCACCTGGAGGAGACTGAGCTTCGTCTGCCACGGGGGACTCGTACCACAATAGCCTAACTTCGCTCTGGTTACTGCAGCAGCACTTGGGATAAGAAGGAGACATTTCCCGACGCTTTTGAATGACTTAGTCCAAACATGATTAGTCCTTATCAGCGGATGGTAGTCTAATCGTGTCTTTACCTTCGAGTACTGGGCGAGTGCTCTCCATTCCTCTGGGTCGAGCTGCTTTTGAACCCTAATCCAGGGTGATAATCGACAACGAGCCCATTGGAGGGTTTGCAGCCAGAGGGTGTACCAGACCGGTTGTAGTATAACGGTGACTTCGTGACACCAGGCCGTCTCAGGGAAGAACGGTGGCATTGCTGCTGTATTGGGCGCCGCCGTGGTGTACCGTTCAAACTTCCCTTTTTTTACCTTAGGCCACTGTACTCGCATTGTAAATAACAAAAATTTACAAATTTCGAGCAGAGCCGACAGTCAAAGATGTACCTATCCCGGGTGGAAGTTCTGGCCCTGAGTCATCGAGGTCATCGTTCAGAATGTGGTATCACAAAGGGTAACCTCCTAATTGTCTAAGTGAGTCCCTGACATCTGGAAATGCCACTTAATCTAACCTTAGATCTATGACACTGACAAGTGCCGAAGAAGAAAGAATGACGAACTAAATGGTTTTTCAGCAGCGGGGGCATAGTTAAGCCCATAAAAACTGCGCTGGATTGGGCATGTTGTACGCATGGATGACAAGGCTCCAGTGATAAGACCCATTGACTTTGCATCCCTGGCTGGACAATGAAATCAAGAGGGCCCACGAGCTAAATGGAAGAACCAAGAGCAGAACGATCTGGCGATCTAGCTGCGAGAATCCTCAAAGGAGTGTGGCAATCGGCTACGATTTTTCGCCTCGTCCCAACCCGACAAACAATCATTGATACCTTAGGATATTCCTTTGCTAATTCATCATGTGTATTCAATTCTCAAATGGGTTAAAGAAAAAATGTTAATAGAAATTCTTTTGGTACAAATGTGAATTTCTGAGTATTACTGAAGATTGAAGATCAAGCACACACTAATACCTCAGCTTCATTTGGTTCCCCGTTCTCTTTTTTTATTATTTTGCAAAACTTCTGTTATGAATATTAAATCGACTTTTATTGCATGTTGCCATCAAATTGAAACATTCATTAATTGATTATGCCTCCGCCAACAAAATAAAAACAACACATGCACTGCAACAGCCGCAATCATAGCAAAAAAAATCAAAAAGCAGCAGAACAAATACCGAAGTGTAAATAAAACCAAAAACCCAATTTCATTGACCATGAATGAATTTGTTTGTACTATGCAAAGTCTTAAATGGCCCTCGGCTAAATGGAAAAATAAATATCGATTACAAATTTAATTTGTATTTTTGCAATGAAATCCAAAAACACAATACACTTTAAAATGCAATTAAATATAGAAGAGAGGGAGAGAATATTTAAAACAGGGTGTTTGGAAACGAATAGAAGTGCATCGAGCGTCGGAAATTAGTTTTGAAACCAATGCCTGAACTATGTACATGACCCAAAAGAAAGAAGTGTCGAAGTCGATATAGCTCAATGAGTGCTTTCGTGGCTGTATAGATCGCCCAGAGTTGGACGCGCATAATTTTGGTTTAGGAAAACTTAATGTACTGAATACATTAGCTGCTCTAAAAGAACGAATTTAGCTTATTGAAAACAAAATACGCTCCCAGTTTAGCACGGAGAGTGGTTACTGTACAGGACATATGTATGTAAAAAAAAACCTTGTTTGTATGCCGGCTGAAAAACTAGAGCAGCTTACGATTATGGTTTCGTCAGGACATGCAAAATAAGAATACCTTCACTTAAGTTAAGTTCCAGGAAGATAGTGACAGGCGGCTAGAACGAATTGTTTTCACAACAGAAATATATAATTTAATTCGGACATCGGGTCTGGTCTGGTCGGCCTTATTGTAATTTACAAATATTTTTAAATTCATTTTTAAAATCGTGGTAAATAACTATTTTTTGGTTTTTCAAAATTGGCGTACAAATTCAAACTCAGGCTCATTTGAAAGAGCGACCCTCCTGCTATCATAGGAGTGTCTTCATTTATTTTATGTAAAATTCTATTACGAAATACTAGGATTTATATGGAAGTACTTCGAGAAAATTTATCGAATTCAGATATGTTCTACAAAAAAAAAATCGTTTAAAGAACTGTTTAATGCCAACTGCGTAAATTATTATTTTCTTTAAGATATAAATACTATGTGCAACTTGGAGATATCGTTCGGATTTAAGGGATATGCAGGCCAAAAACCGCGATTTTCCAAACCCAGACGATTTTAGATTAGGTATTCGTTTTGGCCCAAGCAAAGGTAACAAACACTGTGGGTTTTAAGGATCATAATAAAAATTCTCTGTCGGTTGAAAGACGCTCTATCTCAGCAAATTTTACAAAAACGCCCTATCTCAATGTAAATTCAAGACATCGGCAGCTGAGGTAAGACTATTTGTTGAGATAGGGCGGTCTTAAACCAAATTCTGAGATAGGGCGTTTCCGAACCGGCTGCCGAGATAGGGCGATCTTCCACACGGCTGTCGATTCTCAAAAATAGTTTTATGCTGTGACACTCATATTTTCGAGATTACTTCAGCTAAGACAAAATTATAGATTTTTTTGCGAAATGCGAA